CCCCGGAAGCCTCCCTCCGCCACACCGAGAAATTATTGGCGGGATCGTGTTTCAAATCAACGGCTGAGAGAGAGGCACCGGACAATGAATCGACGGTGTGGATTCGTGTAAGAACCACGAGAGAGAGCAACAAGTGAAGCCCGAGTTTCAGCATTTTGTACACCCTAATTTTAAAGATTTGTTTTCATATGTAATTTTTTTATACCAAAAACATGTCTAGGTACGTCTATTTATATACAACTCTCATCAAAACTTGGTGCGATACGTTCTTATCATTTTGGTCTGATTCTGAATGTTTCTCGTAATGAAATTTCCGTTTGCTTCACGCATTTTCTAATAATCGCATAATTGGACCAACAGACACGATCACGAAATTTCAAACGCATTTCCTATGTTACTTCTTTGGGTAACGTGTATAGGATTTATTTATACTTATTTTAGGCATTCTTTCAAAGCACCAATGAAAACGTGTCATGTTGAATCTTATGCGGATGATATTAAAAAGAGTGGAAACTCTTATTTTTAATATAAAGTAATCTTGAAACAAGAAAAATTCAACTATACTTTGCATATATATATATATATATATTGACACAATGAAAACAATGGCGACATTTGGATAATAAATAACCGACCCAAACATTTTCAACTCCAGAATTCAGTTGAAAAGTCAAATCCAAAGGGCCAACTCTTAGCCTCGTATAATGAAAATCTTTCGATTTTCTTTCATCAGTGGTAATGAAACAACGTCTAGTGTTGTTTATATCTCAACTCAACTTACCAAATTGGGTAGTTAAACTGGTGAAATGAGGATGTAAAACGTTTGTCCCATCACGAGTTCGAGTCTCAAGTTAGCGTATAATTCAAATTACATTGCTAGCTCGCAGTTTCGAGATTATTCTGGACTTCGACCGATCGATTCTAAAAAAAATATATACATAAACTCAACTTTAGTATCTAGAAAATGCTACATTAACGAATGGGAAATCCACCCACGAAATTCGAACCCAATCCAAATTTGTTCCAAATCTATTTTCAAATCCAAATAATTTGAAATTGGATTTAGATAGTAAAATGGGAAATTCTCGTAGGTTTTGGATTTCTGAAGAATCCGGAATTTACTACAAATATTCTCCTGTTTTTTATTTTTTATATTTATTTCTAGTGTCACAAAACCAAGATGTTTGATCGTTGTCATTTAAAACCGACTTAGGTTGTCTCTCAAATTCAAGATGCGAGTGAAGAAGAACATGGGAAGCCTCTGTCATTGAGAGAATTAGGGCTAAAATCGTCATTTGCGAGAATTCCAATACAAAGTCAACCGAGGCTGACTTTCTTCTACAAGTTTCGGGCTTTCTTGTAGTGTGTTTTGGGTTTATATACTGATTTGTTCATCAAGCTCGATCAAGAACAAAGAAACCTATCTTCCATAAACGTAGAAACATTCACTACAGTTTTTCTCTCTCCGTCAAAGAATCAATATATTGTGACCTAATTCATAAATGATTTCATTAGGAAGGTGTATAGATATTTACTTTCTGAAATCCAAGAACGACACATTTGAGAAGCTTATATTCTGCTCATATATATTGGGAAACGGTCCATGCTTCTCTTATCTGAATTTTGTTTCCTTTTATATATAGTATATAGTGTTATTTATAAGTTTAAGAGTTTAAAAAATATATTTACTATATTAGGAAAATTTCTGTATACGTCTTACTGTCGAATACATCTTTTTTTTTTCTTTTTTTTTTTTGTAAAATATCGACCGTTATAATTATTATTGTTTGAAGGAATAGTGTACCCATTTTCCTTGTAATGATCCGATCTTTTTTAAAAAAAAACTTTGTTATTTAATTTCTTCGATTTCCTTCTAATTCTCCATATGGTTGTATTTCTTTCTCTTTATATCTAATATTATCCCTTTTTCCCAATTTCCTCCTTTAGTAAATTTTGTTTATCCTTTTTTTAACATCTGTTTTATTTGTTCTTAATACTAACTTCTTTTATGGTTCTATTTGTTTTTTGTTTCTAATATATTTTAAATTTTCACCTTTCATTCCATTCTCTTGGTTTTTACACATAACAAACTACGCGCGTGAGAATGAAAAAAATTAGTTATCCACATTCTTTAACAATCTCTGATCTATATATATAAACACAACATTCTCGCACTCTAATTACAAATTACCCTAAAAACATGGACTCATCAATGGTTCTAGTTATGATCCTAGCCATTGTTCTGAGCTCCACAATCCCTACAGCTACCTCTCGTCGAAATAGCGCGGCCGAAACGACGTTAATCATACCGAAACACGAGCAATGGATGGCTAAATATGGCCGTGTTTACGAAAACGAATCCGAGAAAAAGATGAGGTTCGAGATCTTCAAGAAGAACTTAGAGTTCATCGAGAACTTCAACAGAAACGGGAACGCAACGTACAAGTTGGGCATTAACCAGTTCTCGGACATGACCGACGAGGAATTTCGTTCCACTTTCACGGGATTGAGGCTGTCCGATAAGATCATAAAGGGAAAATCTTTGTCGGGATCCGATGAAACGGATACGCTAAGGCATGAGAATGTGAGTCTAGCAGCTAATAATGTTCCTGATAACATGGACTGGAGAACGCGAGGAGCTGTGACCTCTGTCAAGAACCAGGGCGAATGCGGTAATTCGGCATCTAACTAGCCGATTTACAAATTTATTGTTATAAATCTCAACCTTATAGTACGTATTAAAATACATGCTTATCGTTTATGCGTAAAAGCTGCAATTTAGGGTTTTGTTTGTCAACCTAAGAATACTATTTACGTTAGATCAAAAGTCGAATTTGCATGCCACCAAAACTAATAGATCCAAAATATTAGGATCTTGTTGGGCGTTCACCTCCGTAGCGGCGGTGGAAGGACTGACAAAGATCACAACAGGCAATCTCGTGTCCTTGTCCGAACAGCAGCTCTTGGACTGCGATAGATACCACAAAGGCTGTCTCTACGGGTACCTGGATAGAGCATTCGAGTACATAATCAAGAACGGGATTGATTCCTATAACGACTACCCTTATAGAGGATGGCAACAATCGTGCCGATCAAACGCTCGGCCCGTCGCCAGGATCAAGGGATACAGGGTCATTCAGAACAGCGAGACGGAGCTGATGAAGGCGGTGGCAAGGCAACCGGTGGGAGTGGAGGTGGATCCGTCGTTTAGGCATTACTCGAGCGGAGTGTACGACGGGCCGTGCGGGACGGAACTGAGCCACGCGGTCACGGCTGTGGGGTATGGAACGAGCCAGAAAGAGGGGAAGTATTGGCTGGTGAAGAACTCATGGGGGCAAGGATGGGGAGAGAAAGGTTACATGAGGATCAGAAAAGACGTGGCCGCTCCTGAGGGTAAATGTGGTATTGCAATGTTTGCATTTTATCCGACCGCTTAAAATAATGTTTTCAGGTTATATTTATGTAAAGTCCATGTGATTTCCAATAAAACAAAATGTTCTAACGTGTTTATTACTTAGTTAAATGCTTTTAATGTATAAAATATACATATATATAACCAACTTAGTAACCGACTTAATTACGGAACAAAATGCATATAATATATATATCACATTCCACTTGATAAAATCATGAATAATCACGTACCCAAAAAAGGAAAAATAATTATATTTACCAAAGAAACACATGAAATTCATGTTAAAAGATAATTGATTAACATTAAAAATGTAAAATAACAAAACCAAATAGCTTGCAATTACAAAGACTAGGGAAAAATTGAAAGATATGTCATTAACGCTACAACCACCGTTACAATTGCCGCCCCGCCGCCGTTGCGGTTGCCTCCGTTTCCTCGGTGGCCACAGCCACTGCCGTTGCGGTCGCTTCTGTTTCCTTGGCCGCCACAGCCATAGCCACCACCCCACCACCTCGGTGGCCGCCGCCACCACTTCCTCCACCTACCGCCGCCGCCAACGCGGTCTCTATTCCTTTTTCCTGAAGAGCCGCCTCCTCCCGAAAGCTGCCTCCGCCAGACCGGAAAATTACTGGCGGCATCGTGATTCAAATCAACGGCTCAGAGCGAGGCGCCGGACAATGAATCGACGGCGTGGATTCGTGTAAGAACCACGAGAGATAGCAACAAGTGAGGCACGAGTTTCAGCATTTGTTGTAACCCTAATTAAAGATTTGTTTCGTGTATATAACATCTGGACACCAGAAATATGTCGACAGGCAACGTCTATTTATATACCATTGTCATGAAAACTTGGTGCGATATGTTCTTATTATCTTAGTTTGATTCTGAATGTTTCTTGTAATGAAATATACAGTTTCGTCTTCCTCGTGATGATATGTTCTGGTTGCTTCACGCACTTTATAATCCTCGTACAGTTGGACCGACGGACACGACCTTGCAACAATGTCGAAATTTCAAACGCATTTACTGTGACAATTCTCCGTATATGATTTATTTATTAAGTTTTTATATATATATAAACTCACATATGACATATCTATATGTATATGTACCTGTTTGGAACCTTAATCTACTTCTTAATTTATGTGTACGCATATGTGACATATCTCTCTCTCTCTCTCTCTACCATACATTTGGTCGTTGGATATTTTAATTATATATAGGTGACAAAATTATTATTTTTTTTGTTTTTTCGTGTGGATATGATTTTTATATTCCAATTTTCTAGTAAAATTAAAATTCATACAACAATTATTGGACCGTGTAGAGAAAGATATCTCTATCATTTCCCTTGTACGAAACCGGCAAATGGGAAGACTCGTTCACATCGGTCTTGTCATTTTTCGTGGGTCGTCAACTAAAAATATTAATTACTATTAACCGATTAAACCATTTATTTAAGTTTCAAAATTTGCTTCAAACGTTGAAAAAAATCGCAAGTCTAAATCTAATCTAATGCATGAGAACCAAACCGCACGTGAAGACGACCACTGACAAATAATTCCAGACACCGTATTCATGACCGTAGCCGTCGCTAGCAAACCGGCCTCCGGGAGGAATCCTAACAGGTGGGGGTGATCTTCCGCCGCCTACTCCACCGCCGACGATGGTTCCGCCGCCGATGGCTCCTCCTTCTTCCTCCACCACTTCGACCACCGCTGCCGCCGCGAAGCTGTCTCCGGTGTTCCGGAAAATCGACGACGGGAAGTGACGTGGCTTCTCCGACGGTACTGTAGTGTTTCAGATCGCCGGTTGTGGAAGAGCTGTCGGGAAATGAACCGGCGGTGTGGATTTCCGTAAGGATGACGAGAGATAGAAACATACCAAGCAAAGGTTTTAGCCTTTGGAGCTCCATTTCTTTTTGTTACAAATATAAAATTTTTTTTATTTATTTTGGTTGGAAAATGCACAAGTACAAATGTTGTTGTGTGAATAAATTCGAACTTATAAGAAAGCACTCATGCCACGCACATTTATACCGAGTCTCATCCATTTTCCGTGTTGGCGCGTTGACTTGGTCAACCCACAAACTTAAGAGGGGTTGACCACGTTTTCAAAATAGATTTGATTTTTTGCTCGGGTGTACCCAGACTTTGATTTTTCTTTACAGAATATATATATATATATATATATATATATATATATATATATATATGTGTGTGTGTGTGTGTGTTCGTGAGACATTGCAAATATATACCATTTTTGCAAATATTTTCTTTATAAATATTACAAAATTTTAACAGAATTATTAATTACCCCCATAATAAAATTAAATTTATATTATTGCCCCCAATTATAAATTATTCTCGGTTCGATACTCATCATCATCGAACGTAAAGTTTTATGATAATTAAGAAAAGATGTCATCTTGTTCTTATTCATATATTTTTTTTTTCCCGATATTTTGTAAAACGTACAAGGACACTTCCAAATTCTTACTTTTGTTACCATGCTTTATTAATTGTATAGATACACGAGACTCTTCTAAATTTCATTTCCCTTATTTATAATATTTCCATAAAGTTCCTCGAATCTTCAACCAGTCCATCTTTTGGTTGTAAAGTTTGATAAGTATTTGTTGGATTCTAATGATCATATTTCATCAAAATTTGAATATAGTATCCGGAGAGCATTAGGGTGATACCTAGAAATTCTAACCATTATTATTAAAACCTGTTGTACATCTAAACTTAAAAAGAATCAGTTGGTCGATTTATGTAATACCAATAAAAACAACTTTAAAAGCTGTTTTTTCTTTTCTTCTAATCGTTGACACTATATATTTTGAGAGAAAAGCAAAAAACCCAAATCACTTAGCAATGGGGTGTGTGTATATAAGTATACCATATTGATTCAGTATTTTATTTTTCTAAGTTTAATGTGTTCTCTTATGTCTATTTATTATAACGTAAAAAACCCAAATTCGGGATATAACCTATAAGCATGATATCCGAAATTTTGGATTTCCGACAAGATTAGAGACATGAGATCAGTTAATAGAATTGGAAAACTCAAAATTTTGAATTTGGAATTATTACATCTAAACACCCATATATAGTACTTTTCAAAACGAATTGTTATTAATATATACATCCATATATACATTTTTTTAAAATTAAAAAAAAAATCATGAAATAACACCCTCCATTAAACAGCAAGCCAACTACCAAGTTCAGGTTTTGGGTCCCTCTCACTAATGAAGCAAATCAAACAAAAATGTCTTTTGTGTTTGTGACAGAACTTCACTCTCTATACATACATATCCATCTTCTTCTCATTCATATCACCTTCATCAAGTGATTTCTCCGACTTTTCGGCTTAAATTTCTCGATCCAATGGCTCTCCGGTCCGCTCTGATCTTAGCGTTCTTCCTCTTCCCCGCAGCCCTATCGCCTTTTTTCGCTCTCTCGGCTTCCCAGTTCGTCAGTGGCAAAGTCTCCTGCTCCGATTGCCCCGACGATTTCGATTTTTCAGGTCCATTCATTACAAACCCTGAACGATGTAACAATATTTTGCGTAACCCTAAGTATATATACATATGTACGCATCTCTGTCTTGGTTTCAGGAATCAAGATCATGGTAAGTTGCGAAAATACGAGAAAACGTTTCACGGTGACGACAACAAACAAGAAGGGTGACTTCATGGCCGAACTTCCATCGGCGAATCCATCGAGCTTTGTGGCTGAGATACGAGGCGGACCGACCCAACTATATGGTTCGAGAAAGAACGTAAAATCGAATATCGTCAAGGCCTATGGTCGGCCCGACGGTTACGCTCTTTCTTCGCCGCTGATCTTCTCGATCTCGTGCCCTTCGGGCCTCGGATCTTCCAAGACGGTCGATTTGCCACTTCCACCGGAGTGGGGACTCGCTCCTACGAGCTATTACTTCCCTCCCTTTTTCCCGATCATCGGTATCCCATGAAGCGGTTTTATATGTCAAAGTTCATATCATGTCGTGTACTATATATATATATATATATATTAGTTATTAATGTTGTAGCTTTCAACTACTTTTAATAAAGTTTGAGTTTAATAATGTAATCATAGGATATGAATATTGGTTTTTTATGTTGTAGATTTGATTTGTGAACGATCAATATGCACCGATTTTCCCGTTAGCACCCGGTTTATTCATAGTTCCTAGACATTACATTACGCACAAGTATCTTTCGGTTTTTTAACAAATAAATGCAGAATAATGACGTTTTGGAACAATTTTTTATTGCAAAATAATTTACGTTTTGAGATTATTCATATAATTTTTTTTTCATATTACCCCTGATTGATAATACTTAAATATTTAGATATAGTTATCTATTCAATAAATAAGAATATTTTGGACACATTATAGTTTTTTTAATTTGTATGTTTAAATCTCAAACGTTATTTAAAATAAAACAAGGTAGTAAAAAAAAACTCATAAAACAGTATAGAGAAAAATTAATAAAGTATGATAGAAAAACACAATCATAAAATAGCATTAAAAGAACAAAAAAATTTAATGAATTCAGAAAAAGTTTATTGAAATTAAATAAGATACGAGGCTAACATTTTGATAAAAAAAAAACATCGTAATAATTTTTATATCCAATAAAATCATAAAAACATAACAATCTAATTTACTATATAATAACATTAATGTCATAAGAGAATTAATCCAAGTTTGATAGATCTCGGTGTGGCTGGTATTCATCTATTTCAAGATCTACGTTTCAATTATTATCTCCAATCGATAAGATTTTTGGTACCTGAAAATTTTTTTAGACATTAAAAATCAATATATCGAGCTAAAAAATTTCAATTTTTTTTTGTTATTTAAAAATTTAGAAACGTTAAAAGGAAATTCAAAAATATTTTTATAAGAAAATCCAATTCCGTAGAAATTTCAAAACTTCAAATATTCGTGTCCCAACAAATTAAAACGTTTATTCGTAGAATCGTCTATGTTTCGTCGGAGCATTCAACGTTCACCACTAGCGATGGAGTACCCCTTTCCGGCGGCTCGATAGAAGCTCTCGAGAAGTTTTGCGGAGAACCAGATTCTAGATTTTCGCATCTCTACCTCTTATGGTATGTCTTTCCCTCTCCTTTATCTCACAAATCTCTGAAACTTCGGTTTCATCGGATTTTATGGTAATCTGGATCGATTTCAATGAAATTGTTGTTCTACAATCTAGTGATGGAATTTTCTATGGCTAGAAAAATCTATGCATTACTTGAGTTTCTCAAGAGTTTCAGTCATTCTTCTGATCATGCTGATATTCGTTCTATGATTTACGGTGACAACAAAAAATAATCAGATCTCTTGAGTTCAATTCGCCTTAAATCGTTACTCGTTTCTATTTTAAGAGAGATTTGTTAGTTGTTTGTTTATTGTGTTATGGATTTAATTCGAAGGTTTGTTTTTTAAATACAATCAATCAGAATCCTGAGTTGAATTCACAACAGATTATAAGATGTTTTAATTTAAGAGATACTATATGTTATTTGTCGATTTTATTGTAAAATAACCAAGACAATGATTTTTTTTGGTGTTGCGTTTTGGGATTTTGTTCTTGTAATGAACATGAGTTTTTATAGATGGTTGGATAAGTAATATTGTTCATTTATTCAAATAGACATATTTCATTTTCTTATAGGTATTACTTACTGACTTGTTGTGTTTTAAGAGTGATCATCGATTATCATTGCATTCTTGTAACGTTGATTCGTAGTTAGTCACTGATTACATCTTTGGTTCTAGTTATTGGTACAATGTGATTTTTTACCCAAAAAATATGCTTTATTTGGTATTCTTAATCCATTATATTGGAACAATCAAGTAACTAAACTTTTAATACATATGAACTTGGTGTTGTTTACTATTTCATGGGTTTTTCAGAGTTCTGTGAAGTTGACTTAGACATTAGATGGTTTGCCTATCTTTTTAACTTCCAATGCCCTATCAAATTATCAACGATAGCAGTTGTAAACAAAATCACGAAGGAATGAAACATAAATACGACAGTACATCAAATAGATGCTCAAAGCCTACTTTTCTTTGTTTTAAAGCTGAAAGGAGTGGGTAGTTTGACATCATAATGAATATTGAATTAACCATAAAAGCTTCATTTATTTGATTGGATAACATGCATTACTACATGGCATGATGGTGCATGTGCTAATATGATACTTAAAGCTTTAACATACACCCCTTTTGCAGCGGGAAGCGAAATAGTTGTCTTAGTTGTCTGTTACTATAGATTGTGTATGATATGCATACGGTGGAGGAGTTTGATAACCTTGTGGAGGGGATTAACCAACTGGAGCCGGCGGGGTAGGGTGTGGAATAGTAGGTGTTGGTGGTGAGTAAGTTGGTGGCGGTGAAAAAGTAGGTGGAGGTGGTGAAAATATTGGTGAAGGAGGTGATTGATAACTAGGTGTTGGGGGTGGAGAGCTTGGAGGTTGGTAAGTTGGTGTTGGTGGAGGTGAAGGGGTAGGTCTTATAGGAGGAGAAATGGGTGGTGGAGATAGGAGTGGTGGTGGGTGAAATGGTGTTGGAGGCTGGTATGTTGGTGTAGGAGGTCGTTGTACTGGCGGTGGCCTTATTGGAGGAGAATGGGGTGGTGGTGAAGTTGGAGGACTGTAGATTGGCGTTGGAGGTCTTTGTATTGGTGGTGGTCTTATGGGAGGAGACCGAGGTGGTGGGTAAGTCGGAGGACTATAAGTTGGTGTTGGAGGTCTTTGAACTGGTGGTGGCCTTATGGGAGGAGAACGAGGTGGTGGTGAAGTTGGAGGAATATAAGTTGGTGGAGGTAAAGTCGGGGGACTATAAGTTGGTGTTGGAGGTCTTTGTACTGGTGGTGGTCTTATTGGAGGAGAATGTGGTGGTGGTGAAGTGGGAGGACTATAAGTTGGTGTTGGTGGGCGTTGTATTGGTGGTGGTCTTACCGGAGGTAAATGGGGTGGAGGTGAAGTCGGGGGACTATAAGTTGGTGTTGGAGGCCTTTGTACCGGTGGTGGTCTTACCGGAGGTAAATGAGGTGGAGGTGAAGTCGGAGGACTATAAGTTGGTGTCGGGGGTCTTTGTATCGGTGGTGGTCTTATGGGGGGACTATATGTTGGTGGTGGTCTTATCGGAGGAGAATGAGGTGGTGGTGAAGATGGAGGTCTGTAGGTTGGTGTTGGAGGTCTTTGTACAGGTGGTGGTCTTATTGGAGGTGAATGTGGTGGTGGTGAAGTCGGAGGATGGTAAGTTGGTGTTGGCGGTCGTTGTGTTGGTGGTGGTCTTCTCGGAGGAGAACGTGGTGGTGGTGAAGTCGGGGGACTATAAATTGGTGTTGGTGGTCGTTGTATCGGTGGTGGCTTGATCGGAGGAGAACGAGGTGGTGGTGAAGCTGGAGGACTATAAGTTGGTGTTGGAGGTCTGTGTACAGGTGGTGGCCTTACAGGTGGACTATAAGTTGGTGGTGGTCTTATTGGAGGTGAATGTGGTGGTGGTGAAGTCGGAGGACTGTAAGTTGGTGTTGGTGGTCGTTGTACCGGTGGTGGTCTTATCGGAGGAGAATGTGGTGGTGGGGAAGTCGGGGGACTATAAGTTGGTGTTGGTGGTCGTTGTACCGGTGGTGGTCGTATCGGAGGAGAACGGGGTGGTGGTGAAGATGGAGGTCTATAGGTTGGTGTTGGAGGTCTTTGTATCGGTGGTGGCCTTATAGGTGGACTATATATTGGTGGTGGTTTTATTGGAGGAGACTGAGGTGGTGGGTAAGTTGGAGGACTATAAATTGGTGTTGGTGGTCTTTGTACCGGTGGTGGTCGTATCGGAGGTGAACGGGGTGGTGGTGAAGATGGAGGTCTATAGGTTGGTGTCGGAGGTCTTTGTACCGGTGGTGGCCTTATAGGTGGACTATATATTGGTGGTGGTCTTATTGGAGGAGACCGGGGTGGTGGGTAAGTCGGAGGACTGTAAGTTGGTGTTGGTGGTCTTTGTACCGGTGGTGGTCTTATCGGAGGTGAATGAGGTGGTGGTGAAGTCGGAGGACTATACGTCGGTGTCGGAGGTCGTTGTATTGGTGGTGGCCTTATGGGAGGAGATCGAGGTGGTGGTGAAATTGGAGGACTATATGTCGGTGTTGGTGGTGGTGATGTAGGAGGTGTTGTCACCGGCGGTGCCCGTATAGGCGGGCTCGGTGGCGGCACCGTTGGGACACCGTATGTCGGTGGAGTAGGAGGAGGCGAGTAACCATACTGATCAGTCTCATACCGATCAAACTTTTCTCTTACTACACCATTTGCAGCTACAGAAGCACCGAGAGCAAGAACTACCACTAAGAAGCTCAAAACTTCTCTCAACGAGACTATCATCTCGTAAGTAAGCGACTTTGTGGAAAGGAAAGATAGACCGAAACACTTCAGTCTTTAATATACAAAAGGAGGTGGAGATCTCAATGAATATTGTTTCAGGATCTCTGCTGAATTTAAGGGGGCATAGTAAGAAAGAGTCGTCTTTCACGGTCAGCTTTCGGCAATCGACGGTTATGGTTTCGTGTCAAAAAGACCAGAAATTGCTATGACCATCTTCTGCTCCTCTTTCAAACCCGTGTAAGATCTCTTTGTTAATGTAGTACATGTGTCATGAGATTTGTCTTGAAACCGTTTCTGATTATGTAATCCTTTGTCTCCTTACTAGAGTCATTAATGGTGGCTTTTGACCCTTTTGTTTCATAGTGGTGAATGTCAAGGATTAGAAAGTTGGAAGTAAACAAACATACAGGCATTCCCGGTATGAGATATATAATGGAAAATATATCATGATTACTTAATTTGTTTATTAATCTTTTTTATTATGTGAAATAAAATCTTTCTTTTTTAGTAAATTATGAAACTTAATTTGGATATTTGGATTATGAAAGATTATTACCCATGATGAAAGATTGCATACTAGACTAGTATATGAAAAACAAGTTCCAAGAGATTTGAAAAGTGCTTTCATGGAAATAAATTTCGGTTGGGTTAGAGATTCAGTTTGTGCTTTTATGGAATTTCGGGATTTAATTACAATATTCGTACGTAAGGATGAATTAGCATCTTACAGAACATGACATATAAATGTAGTGGAAGACAACATTGCAAAGGCTCAAAATTTATGATGAAGAAGAAGAAGACAGAAGTAGTAAGAACTAATAGTTGACTTAAGTTTTTGTATATTTACTCATCAATTTCTCTCTAGGATTTTTTCTTCTGCCGACAGTAGAAGATTAACAAAGAAACAAAAACCTCAATCCCGGGTTTGAAGCAGGAAAACCCGCAAGTGACAAACATGTCCTGGTTCCATGAATTCCCATATTATCAGATTCTATCTCTTGTTTTATATGCTTATCATCTCAACAACTCATCCCGATCGAAGCCTATATTTTCTGATGATTGTCATATTGGCCCAGACAGATGCAGTTTAACGTCCGGATGTAGACGATGAAACATGTAGCCAACGTTTAGTGTTTTTACCCGAGCCTTTGTCGAAAAAGGCGATGATTTTTTCGCTTTCGCATATTACATTGGCTGCCCATGAGAACTGGTTTTGTTTATAGCCGTAGCTGTAACTTCAGCGTTATGGATTGTAGGTTTCGACATTTCGGCCATAGCCGTAACTTCGTGGGTTAGTTGTAGAGTGTTAAGTTTTGGTTTGGCTCATCATGTTAGGGAAAAGAAAAACGTCTTTTGGCATTTGTTGTTTTGTAAATCCAAATTTGACAATTCTATAAATTCAAAAAAAAAAAAAAAATTAATCCAAGTTTCTGTTTTAGGATTATCCTAATTCTACGATCTCACATATTGAAAATTTCAGATTTTGTTTCACTTACCCGTTTTGGATTTTATGTGTTACATTCTGTCCACTTGAGTTTTTTTATATTGGTTTGGTTTCCGAATTATAGATAACAATGTTTATTTTATAAAATAGTTCCGATTGTGTTTGGTTATTTCGATATTTAGTTCGCATTCCATTTTTTTCAATTTAAAAAATTATATGTATTTGAATTTATATCAAATTTTCTTTTGATATGTCTCTTTTGTTTGGTTGAGATGGGAACTGAAACAGACACCCATAACAATAATATATTCAACGAAACCATCTTAAAAAAATCATAACAATCTATGAATTAGCTTCATCAATATATATATATATATATATAGAAAGAAACCCTAATGTGTTGTAGAAGAAATGGACATTGAAAAGGCATGAAGAAGAGGAACCAGTGAAGTTAACTTCGCTGTCTGACTTTCAAGTAACAATTTTGTTTTACCTTACTTTTTGAAAATGAATTAAAAATGCGTACAATCAATCTATTTGGGAATGAAAATAAAATAAATACCATAAAGCGAATTGGATTTGAAATAATGCAACTCAAAAAGAACCCACGATCCAATCCAACTCCTTTTTTTTTTTTTTTTACAATGGGAATAATAAAATAACAAAGCCTAATTCGTATAGACTCTTTTTTTTTACTCAGAAATTTATCATGGTCTAACAGTCGATCCAATTATATCTCTCAAGATCCGGAGATAATATCTCCAATCACTGCTCGAATATGGGACCAGAGACAAATAACACCTACCTTTCTCAACCAGTTATACCACTCGACCACCACGATTAATTCGTATAAACTTTATCATTTCTTAATCTCCAAAAGATATATATGGTAGTCGAACCATTTCATTCTATAGTATAATTTTACACATTGTCTTAGAAATTCATACTCTCAACATAAAAAAGAATTTGAAATGATATATTTTTTTATTGACTATAGTTAGACAAACATAAATATATACTTATTTTATATACACAAACATATATACCTATCTTATGTGTACTTGCATAGGTTTGGATAAAAGCGATCAATGCATGTAAATAAATGTTAAAGTTTTCTTTTAGCCTAAGCCAAAATCGCCGAACCTAAAACAGTTAGATGTTCATAAATTCAAAGCTAACAATTAATGTAATAAACAGTTTTTGTACCAAATGCATATTAATTTCCAGAAAATATGAGCCAAAGCAATCTAAAGTTTCACTCATAAGTTGCGTCATCGAATATATATGAAAACAAATTAATGGAAAAAGCACATTCGGATTAATGCTATTAATTGCGTTGATATGGTTAGCACAAATACTAACGGAATTACGTTTAAAATCCCTAATACAAAAATATTGTGCGAGAAATTATAACGCAAATAAATCGTACATTAGGGTTAGAAATTTCTAACGTAAAATTTTCATTAAACAGGTCTAAATCAAATTTGCATATCATCATTTCTAATGCAATATTTGCATCAAACTCTCTAATGAATCCCCACAACAGTTCATCATTTGCATGTGTTTAAATGTGATATTGAATTAAGTGGATAATTTCCCATTTTCTATTTAACGTATCTTCTGCTGTAGAGTTTATATCTTAAAAACAAAAAATGGTAAAATATTATTGCGAAAAGAGGTCTGAGAATGTTCCTGGAAATTTCAGAAGAACTGAGAGAAAAGAATCCTCCAATTGGATTCCTGACACCACAACACAGAGTCCAACCCAACTCCCACGCACACGCAATCCCCCCACTTCGTTTACCATATATATAAATCTACCCCTCATATTCATACATCATTCTCTTTCTACCACATATTGTTATATTATCAGATTCAACCCCGTTAGGTCAGAGAATGGAATCATTCCATTTATGTTTTTTTTTATTTACCGAATGTAAATTCCATTTTTTATTGGATTCTCATTCTCTTTTTACATCAAAGGCTGTGTAATTCTAAAATCCATTAAAATAATTACGCTTAGATCTATTAAAAATGCTACTCCATCCGAATCAATATGAACAAAAGTTGACAGCGTAACAGTCACAAGGGTATTTGAAACATATCAGAGAGACGTTTAAAAATATGGTCCTAATTGAAATTTAGATAGTACATGGATTCATGGTGTATTTTTTAAATATTAGGGGTTGTAATTGCAAATAGTGCGAAACATATCTCACACGTGAGAAAATCCCGTTGCGATTTCGACACGTGTCTGACAGATGACATCGCGGAGTCCACGTCATCACTTTCTGCCGCACCTCCTCGCAACGGCTCCACCGTTAAAAGAAAGCTCCGTCACATTTTCTCCATCTACCAAAAAATAAAGTTCGTCGCTTTCCTCTGTTTCTCTCTCTAGAAATTTACTCTCCTTAGTCTCCAAGAATACACATCACGTACATATATAATCTGTGTATATCTTCTTCTCGCGAAAACCTAAGCGCCTGATTCACATCCATGCTGACTTTGTGTTTCTCTCGGTGAGTTTCCTCAACTGAGGTCAACTCTAGGGTTTCGTTTAAATTGCTTTTTTGGCGTCGATTTTGGAGTATTTTGATAACTTGATGTTCGATCGACGCGTTTTATTGGTTTCCTGCTAAAATTTTCAATTCAATTGGTGTTCCGCTTTGCTCTGCTTTGGTTTGTGTCTGTTTCGTTGCTGATAAATGGTAGGAAAATGCGGAGAGAGATGATTTACTTCATGAATGTGTCTTATTTCGTGTACGGATCAGGATGAAAGTTGGAAATTTTGGAAGGGAGAAATTTAGTGTTGTTGATTTTGGTACACTTGTTTTTTTTTTCTGCTTATTTTCTCGTGAACCAAACTGGTGTTTGTGGATGTTTTATGCTTTTCTCTTGTTGATTTTGTTTTTGTTCCTTTGTTAATTACGGTGTTGGTTGCAGCTTTGGGCTAGTGAAGTTGACGTCTTTGAGGATTCTTTCGGATCTAATTTCAAGAAATTAGAAGGGTGTTTGATTGTGTAAGTTTGAGGATTGTTTGTCTCATGATAATTGTTAGGGGAATGCAGAGAAAGTTTTGCGAGAAGGAGAGTGCTTTCGGTTGGAAGGAATCCTTCTGCCAAGGGATCGTCAACATAGGGCCTAAGGCAAGAACGAGGGACAAACCTAGGGATAGTCTCCGTCCTCTCTAATTTTGAGACTAAGGTCTTGTTGACACGTTGACACGTTTAGACTCAAAATGACACGGATTTTGGTTCAGAGAGGTTCTGTAGGCAGTCCTTCCAATCCGAGCCGCTCTTCTTCCACGCCTGGCTCATCTTCATCCTCTCGGACAGAACCACAGACCAACAGTAATACCCCTCAGGTTTACACAGTCGGTAGAGATGAAGAAACTGCTGAAGTAAAACAAGAACAGGTTGTTGTAGCTGAACATGCTGAATGTTCTGATGTTAATGCAGAGCAAGTTCAGAATGTGTTGGTCGAAAGTGATGAACCTGTGGATAAAGAAGATGATGAAGGGTTTATTAAAGGGTTTGGGGGTTTAATGGTTTCGGAGAATGTTTGTGCGGAAAGTGAAGGTGTAGTTTGTGATTCACCACATAGTGGTGGTGATAGCCCTCATCCACCACCACCTCCTGTTCCGCCCCCAAAACCTTTTTCGGCTGTAAACCCTGATAATAGGAGACCGGTCTTGGGAAGTTCTAATGCTCTAAGGATTGGAACAACACGAAGAGGGACTGGATCACGCTCTATTGCTTCCACCAGGAGCTCCCCAACTGGGTCACGACCTTCTTCTCCAAGACCTCATGGTGAAAATGACGGCTACAACAGTGCTGATGAGCATAATCCATACTTTATGCCCTCTTATTATGATTTGGTAAGGTTTGTTTATAGAAATTAAAATGTATTTTATATCATAGTTTTCTATCTTGTTCATTTCTTTCTGTATATCATCTTGTAAGAATTGTATTTGTAAGACTGACTAGTTACTGAAATTAGGTCATCTCTTTTCGAAACGATGGCCATGATATTTGTGTATCTGGGTGTGTTTCTTCTAATTAAAAGAGTTTCTTCCTTCTCGCAGGAAAGAGAACGTCAGTTTGAACTTGATATTAGACGGGCCAAATGTTATGAAGTTAGGCGGATGATGGAAGATGGAAACTGTCTCTTCCGAGCTGTTGCAGATCAAGTTTATGGGGACTCTGAAGCATATGAATTGATTAGACAAATGTGCATGGATTACATGGTAATTTTGCTCTTTTCCCTGTCTTTGATTGTTCCTGTGATGTATATTCTTAATCAGCGTAAGAGAACGGCGCACTCATGCACTGAATGAATGAAGTGAACTTGCCTTGGAAACTTGTGATTGCAAGAAAGTTGTGGACTTGCCAAAGTGTGCCCATTAAAAATTTGGCTTTTCATGGACAGGCCCTTGTATTGTTAGTTTTAGGTCTTCCATCCATCGAGAAAGGAATAACAGTTTTAAACACATACACTTTTCTATCTGAGATTTGTTTTTTAATCTATGATGTGCACCCATCTTTTGCAAATGAGAGGAATTGGAAATATTATCAGATGTTAAGGGAGAATGCGTGATACATGAACTCGGTATTTCCTCCAAACTGTAGCCGTGCTCATCCATCAGGGTGTTGGCATGTATCCATAGATTTATATGCATGATGTAACAAAAGTAAATAATGTTTTAGGTCTTTTGCATTTCCCTGGGTACAATAATGTTGTTGATGGTGTACCATGACGTTTCTTGGTGTTTTAGGAACAAGAGAGAGATCACTTTTCCCAATTTATAACTGAAGGCTTTGCATCTTACTTGAAAAGGAAAAGAAGGGATAAGGTTCGATTGTTTTATCATTTGTTTGGAATGTTTAACATTTAGCTTTAACAATCTGTCTAAATTGGGGTTTTGCCTTGGTGACAGGTTTATGGCAACAATGTGGAGATCCAAGCATTAGCTGAAATGTACAACAGGCCTATCCACATCTATTCATATAGCACAGGTATTTTCTAGTTTGTTTGACATGGAAAGTCTTGTTCTTTCTCTTCGTGAGTGAAAAATTTACTTGGAACATATACATACATATGTTTTCAGAGCCTATCAACATATTCCACGGAAATTACAACACGGACCTGCCTCCCATAAGGTTGAGTTACCACCACGGGAATCATTACAATTCCTTGGTAGATCCACGTCGTCTTACAGTTGGTGCTGGACTTGGGTTCAGTAGCCTCACAGGGGTGAGTACATTTATACCCATTTGTGGTTGTTGGGGCATAGGAAGGTCTCAGTCCTGGTTTTTTGTTACTCAACAAGGAAGCTCGAGCCCCATTAAATTCTGCTTTGATTGTTTTGCACTGCTAAGTGTCTTTTCCTCCTGGTTGATCGCATACAAGTGGACAGTTGGGAAAAATCTACAAATATTCACACCAGTTTTCATGGTCTTTAATTCAGAGAAACGTGGACAAGGAGCAGGTGAAAGCTGCTATAAAGGCTCAACAGGACCTACAGATTGATAAGGCAAGTATCATATTCATATATATATATATATATATGTGTGTGTGTGTGTGTGTGTGTGTAATCAGATTTGTAATATGTTGAGATCTGTGGTTCCCCTTAACTGGTAATGGGTTTGTTTCCCTTTTATTTATTCACAGGTGCTTTTGGCGGAGGGGAAGTTTTACTCCGACCTCGAGCTCACTGAGAGGGAAATCGAAAGGTCTGTAATGGAGGCATCCCGGGCTGAGTATCTCATGGAGAGGTTCAAGCCACAGCTCGGACACAAGGATTCGTCCACCTCTACTATGGCCGAGACGTCCTCATCAGGGGCTAGTGAGTGTTTTCCTAATTCCTACACAACACAACATATTCCCTCAAGGGCCATGGGGAAAATGGCGAAAAAAATTCAATACCTTGAGATATAACGAATGGCATATGGGGGCAATGAATGTTAACAGGGCCACCGACAGAGAAAGAGACGGGACAACGGGAAACAAGAGAGGGAACGACGTCGGGAAGCATGAAGACGTTAGTGTCGATGGGATTCAGCTACGTGCAAGCGGTGGAAGCTTACAGCATATTTGGGGACGACGTGGACTCGATGGTATGTTATCTCTTGGAAACGAGCAGCAGCGGCGGTAGTACCAGTGGCAGTAGCCGTCGCAAAGGCAAAGCCGCTGAATGATAAAGAAGTATTCAGTTATGTGGAAATAAGAACACAACCCACTTGGTGTTGCTCAGCATAAAGCAGAGATTACGTATTATCTTTTTGTGGACTTTGGTTTCCCTTATAAATAAATAAATAAATAATAAACTCTCCATTTACCTAATCGGAAAGAAATGATGTTTTGTAGCTCATGAATTGATGGGCTGGTTATTTCATTTATTTCTATTTAAAAATTAAAATTGATTTGAATTTTTTTTTTTTTGAATTATTGTTATATTTGATTCGGATAAAATTTGGACTCGATTTTAGATGTCATATATATATATATATATATTTATATCGAATTCACTTAGAGAAATACTACAATTAAATAACTTATAACCAGAATAACCTATGAAATTTAGGGTATTTACCACATTTATATAATGTAATAGGGTAGTTCATTAAATCGAATCTAATTCCTAAATCATTTTGCATGTAGAGATGTTAAATGAAAAGACGAGGAAAAATCTGTAAAATGTTAGTAGTTGGTATTGTTGTGAATATGCAGAATTATAATTTTGGGTAGACTGCTAACCTCAGTAGTAATCATAAGAAGTTATAAAAGTATTTGTAATCGGATTTAATGGTTCATCAGTGTAAAAGTTTATGGAAAGATGGTGCTATTTAAATTCTTAGTGACCAAATTCATATTACCACTTTACCATTCTTACCACTACTATGATTTTTCACACCGCTTATGAGAAACTACAGATTTCTCTGCGCTTTCAGATTCAATTTTTTTTACTGTTACTGTCGTGCAAATTTCGCATTAAAATATTAAATTAACATTTTCAAAAAGGTATATGTCCATATATACACCTATATATGTGTAGATGAAAAAATATTTAAACATATTATATAACATATATATATATATATGTGTGCAGAAATTTCTTAGTACTTGATGCTAAACGGAAAACCTTCTTCCTAATCAAACTCGAGTGTTGGTTCCGTCCCGAAGTTTGCGTCCTCTCTCTCTCTCTCTCTCTCTATCTATCTCTCTCTCTCGTTCCGAATTCTAGGGTTATTCGATTTGGGAATCAAGTCTCGGATCCGATTCCTGATATCGAGCTCCGAGACGATGTCGCAGAACGGGAAACTGATGCCAAATCTCGACCAAAACAGCACTAGGCTTCTCAATCTCACCGTTCTTCAGCGAATCGATCCCTACATCGAGGAAATTCTCATCACCGCAGCTCATGTTACCTTCTACGAATTCAACATCGAGCTCAGCCAATGGGTATGCATTGATCATCGCTTTGAAGCTCTTACCTACTGATTTTTGTTATATTAGGCGTATGCCCGTTTGTGGGTTTGCTTTGTTTTCGACTGATTTGGGTTCCGGCATCTGTTTTCTTTGAATCAGAGCCGTAAGGATGTAGAAGGATCTCTGTTCGTCGTGAAAAGGTATTGTCTTTTTTGTTGTTTAACGCTTTCTTCCCCTTTTGTGATGTTCCTATTAACTTTATGGACCCTTTTGCTTTGTTTTGTTTCAGGAGTACACAACCTCGGTTTCAGTTTATTGTGATGAACCGTCGAAATACGGGTTAGTTTGTCTTTCCAGTTCCTGGTTTGGTTTCTTGGTCGTATATCAATCTGGACTGTGTCTATTCTTTGTATGTGCTTAAGCTAAATGTCTGTCTTTCCATAAACTATAATGGAAAATGGGGTTCTTTGCTTGATCCATATGGAGAATGATCTGATAATTTATTGTCGCTGGCCGTTGCTCATTCGTCCTAGTTAGTTTTTATCATTCTTCTCGCCATTTGGACAAAGTTCTCTGTTGGTAGGTTTGTATTTTATGTTCTCGTGCCGAGCCTCTCTCCTTGTGGATGGCTAAAGCAATGTTTAATAGCTTTTAGAAAGAAATTTCTTATGTCTTCTTCCTTTCTATCTTCCTTCGGAGGCTGAACGTTATGTCACAGAAAAAGTGGATGTGGGGGTTTTGTTTGCTGGGGCCGGTAGGGTGCAGCAAGTAGAAGGTGTAGTAGATTGTTAATCCCTGGATTTGTTTGGATGAATAAAGTTTGTAAATTAGGATCGAAGGTTGAATTGCTTAGTATGGTTCTCTGACATCGTCTGCCCTCTGAAACTAGAAATCGTTGCAAGTTCCTTTATTAGGACACCTTGTGTCGGTTGAAGTTCCTGTTTGTTATTAAGGTTGTTATTATAATACGTTCTGTTAATAGCACAACATTCTGTGAATTTGTTTCCGCAGACAATTTGGTGGAGAATCTCCTGGGAGATTTCGAATATGAAGTCCAGGGTCCATATTTACTTTACAGAAATGCAGCTCAAGAAGTTAATGGTATTTGGTTCTACAACAAACGTGAGTGCGAGGAGGTGGCTAATCTATTTGACAGGTAAAATATCTTTACTACAATGGCACATTCCATAGAGGCTAGTTTTCGTGGTTGGACATTCTTGAAATTAGTGCTAGGCGGCCATTAATAACCTGTAGGAGTGTGTTTTCTGGTATATTTCTTTCATGGTTGGTCGGACTGGAAGATTTACGTTTTATACGAGTCTGTTCTCTTGGTACCTGTCTGTCTTATGGTTTCATGGCATGGCAGGATAATAAATGCATATTCCAAGGCAAATCAGAAGCCAAAGGCATCATCTTCAAAGAGGTAAGATCTTCATGTGGGTTTTTTATTATTTGTTTTTCACCATTAGTTCTTCATGGATGCCTCTCTGAGGCTTAGGCATGACAACTGAAAATTATCCTCACTTGGCATCAAAATATGAGAAATGGTATTGCTGTGCCTGTGATTATATCGTGTATATATGACTGCAGGGAGTATGAAGAGCTGGAAGCTGTTCCTACAATAGCACTGATGGATGGTCCGCTGGAACCATCTTCGACAACTGCCTCCACCACTGCCGATATTCCTGATGATCCCGCTTTCGTTAACTACTTTAGTGTAAGTTTTTGAAACTTTAGTCACGCAAAACATTTTTAATACAAGCAATTGCAGCCGGGCTTCATATAATTTCAGGATTCTAGGATGACTTGTGAATAATGGGTCAGGTAGCCGATAATGTGGTGTCCCTTCATGTACTGACTTCATCGATCTCGTGTTTTCTTTTTTTGCCAAACTTCCAGTCAGCAATGGCTCTTGGGAACACCACTTCAACTACCCCGGCATCCGGACAACCATTTCAGCCTCCACCCGCAATTCCTCGCCCCCCAAACAATGCTCCTCCAACCTCTGCAGCTCCATATATGAAGCCACCGCCAATACTGTCATCATCATCCACTCCTCTAATGCCACTTCCCAAAAACACTGATCCAGGCAACAACACGAACATGCCGACTAATCTGGTGAAGCCATCGACTTTCTTTGCCCCTCCACCGTCTTCTTCCTCCAGAACGATGCCCCCACCTGTTATTACCCCTTCTTCCTCTGTTCCCAAGGCAAATCACCAGCGGCCATATGGTGCACCGTTGCTTCAGCCATTCCCACCGCCGAATCCGCCGCCATCTCTCGCCCCCAACTATGGCCCAGTGGTCACAAGAGAGAAAGTCAGAGAAGCCCTTTTGGTGCTTGTTCAGGTCGTTTTTTTTCTTTCCAAACCCATTTTATATATATATATATATAAAGCACCCTTTGTGTTATGAATCTGCATGTGATTTGTTTAGGGGTATGTACTGATTTGATTACTTGTGATGGAACAGGACAATCAGTTCATAGACATGGTGTACAGAGCTCTGCAAAATGCTCACCATCATCATCCATAAAAGACACGAAGACACGAGCCATTGTTGTGCTTCTGCTGCAGTTTGAGTTTTTGTTTTGTTTTGTTTTTTGTGGTTTGATTTAGAGTGTTAGGTTCGGATTCTATCACTAAATGTTGTACGAACCAAACTGTATAGAATAATTGGAAAACAAATTTCTTTTGCGTTTTGGTTGTGTTATGCAAAGACCGAACAAAAATAATCCTTTAAAGTTTAAACAATAGAATTACGGATTTTAGAAAAGATTTTAAATATTTTTATGAGTTATTTCCAAATATGAATGAAAGTCAAACCGAATTCTGTATTGTTTGTTAGTTTTTTTTAAAAAAATTTATTTTTGGTTTACAATATAATTATGCAAAGTTGGCTTTGAGGTATTTTTTTTTTTCTGGGTAAAGGTTCACATAAAAAAAAATACGGGTACATTGTTTTAGGTTCATATGTAAAACCTAAAACCAAACGCTCCCTCTCTGGCAACGTGTGGCCTCTCTGCTCCTGACTCGGAGTAATGCTGAAGCACTTCGCCTCTCGCTCGAACCCTAATTTCATCTTCTCCAGGAGCTTCTCCTCTACGCTTTTCGTCAAAGGTTCTCTCTCTCTCTCTCTCGTTCTTCGTTGTGCACTTCTGCGTCTGCATACTTGATTGATTATACGGTGCTTAGGACAGGGTGATCCGTTGAATTGAGGTTTCCATGGAAAAGGTTTGAGGGCTTTGTATGTCGTGTAGCCGTTGATTGGAATGAATCGTATAGACCCATGGAGCCATGTCGAATCATGATTCTCTCTTGCCTTCTGGGTTTTTTTTTTTTTCTAAAGCTTGAAATCGAGCTCAGGGCGCTCTCCTAATTCTTAAGTATTGCAAAATGTCGCAGTATCAGTTTCGGCCTCGGTGGATCCAGTTGTTAACTTTGGTTACACGTCTGTTCGGCTATGCGTTACGAAATGTTCTGTCCGAATAATTCTTATCAGCTTCTTGATGGAGGTTTCTACAGTGCCATGAATTATAGAAAGTTGTGGAAGTAGAATTTTGTTTGCTGTCTTGTTTGACCTCTGACTCGATTTCTGTAAAGTGTAAACCAAATCAACGTAGCATCTGATGTATCGATCTGGTTATGATTTCTGCTTGAAATTTTTTCATGAGTTCGGCGTGGTATGATTCCCAATTTTTGGTGAAGGCATATCTTTCTCAAGCACAGAAGAAACATTAGCAGAAGCGTTTTCACAATGCGGTCAGGTCATTGGAGGTCTGTGTCTAATCTATCCAGCTTTTTTTCGATCTGCCCTTCTCGTACCTGTCTGTTATTTTCGCCTTTTTTGTTTCGTTCAGTGAACGTGACGATGGACAAAGTCAAACGCAGACCAAAAGGGTATGCGTATGTTACCTTCTCTTCCGAGGGCGAAGCCCAGAAAGCTTTGTTGGAAATGAACGGACAGGTACTATCCAGTTATCTCCTCTCAGTTCTGTTACACTTAATCCCTGTTCGATTACATTTCTGTCCTAAGTCATAAGAACGACATTTGTGCATATCATTTCACATGAATTCACACCGTCTTCTTTCTCGACAATCTTTTTGTTTTTTTGGTAGATCTAATGGCAACTCTCCTGTTGGGTAGGGAATTAGGAAGTAAGGACGCATTTTATGAGTCCTTGCATTTGTATCTGAGATACGAGATATCGGTAATAAATCATCTCCGCAGGCCGAACCAACCAGTCAAAAACGATGTCTCTTACCTATTCTCCACAAACCCGTATCGATGTCTCGGGTTGTCTCTAACGTTTTTTTTCTTGGTTTTATCGCAGTTGGTGGACGGGCGGGTTGTGATCCTTGACGCTGTAGAACCCGTAAAAGGCGACAGGGCCAGCAGTAGTAGGAGCTGATATATGTATCTTTTGTGTTTTTTGGTCTTGCTCTATTGTAGTTTTGGAACCAATACCGTTTCTGATTTGGCTCGGTCTCGGAATTTCTCTGTATCTGTGTAGTATGATGGCCATGGAAAAATTCTTCACGACATGAGGAAAACAAAATGTAAATGAAATCTCAATCTGGGTTTGATCTTGTGATCTCGTTGAAGGATACAGTTAGATGGGAACAAGGATTAATGCACATGGAAGAACTTGTATTTTCGGATATCCGATATAAATTGCGGATTAGATACTCGAAAATCGGGTATTCATCTATCGACGGGATAAGTATGGATATGGTATCGGGTTTTGACTCGAATGTCGGTCGGCAGTTATCCGCCGTACTCGCAAGTACTCGTGTTGCCGAGGATTAGTCGTTTCGAGAGTTAGCCACTGCGCCTCGTCTCGTCTCGTCTCGTCTCGTCTCTACTACATTTTAAGTACGAGCGGATATTTGGTGGGTTTGTTCGAATAATAAATTCATATAGAATTTATCTCTCTCGCATTTTAGTTAATTTCAAGGAAAAAATGGAAGGCAGATGTTAGAAGAATTGTCTAAGCTTTAATATGTATTCAAAGTATGCTTTTTTTGTTATTACGTGTAGTTTTTAGGTTTTTTAATTGCATTTTCACATTTTAAGTCTTTTTCGTTTAAAAACCATGCATCATTTTAAGAGAAATGCCTTTTAAGAATTATGTTTATCATGTTAGTGTAATAACCTTATGTTCAAATCTTTTCTAACTTTTTTGTATTTTATAATAATACCACATTTCAAAAATATTTATGGATTTGAGAATATTTTATACAAATACAAATCCGATAGCATAATTTGTTTAGGGGCATCAACAATCTATCATCCAACAACAATAAACAATGGAGGATTTAAACTCTACAAAAATACTAATGGAATAATTCCGCCTTATTTCTTAAAGAACTTCATATATTTTTAAAAAAAATGTAAAAAAATGACTTAATATTTATATGCAGATATAATTCTTAGATTTGTTACAAGATCAAGTACTTTGGCGAACTTTTTAAGAATATACTCATAATTAATAAATACACAAATAATTTTTTGGGAAAATGAAACGCGTCCATATATGCCAATTTGATGTTAATTTTTTCCAGAAATAATAACTAATTGACAAGAAATTTAAAGCTCCCAACCTTCAAATAGCTGACATGAAAGCAACAGCCCACTGATTACGCCAAACTGAAAACTGCTTTTTTCAACGTAACTAAACTTACTTTTATATAAAAAAAAAAAAGCAATTTAAGTACTTTGGCGAATTTATTTATTGTTATCGAATTTTTATTTTTAAATGTCATTTGTGTATTTAATTTAGAATTTAGTTATATATGATTAGGTTGTATTCAATTTTTTAAATTTCGAAAGTGAAATTGCCATCCAAATTGATCTCTCGACTTCATGTTAAAAACGTTTTGTGGTAAACATTTCTTTGCGTTTCTACGAGTTTCTCGTATTCATTAAGAATTCCATTGACTATTTCAGTAAATTCCTAAAATATCCCTACAAATAATAATAATTTATGGTACAACATGCCGAAAAAGTTCTGTGAAGCAGCCAATAGAATCCTTGATTCGCCGAATAATGGATAATGTTTGGCAAACCCGGCAAATTACTATGGATTGATGGTCGGTTATCGATCGGTTATCCATATCGATAAAAATAAAATAAAGATAAGGATAAATTAAATTCAATCCCTTTTATTTTTTTTAATAAAGAATGATACAATATATTTTTTTTCGTGGGTACATAAAACATGCTTTGAGATGAGGGTGTGTACGTACACGTGTGAGTGCAGTGGATCGTGATGTTATATTTAAAGTGTATAGATTCGATGTCCGAAGGGTCACGAGACATGAAGACATGTTTTTCACTTTGGACCATATGCAGATAGTTTACAAATATATATTTTTTTTATTAAATGGCCGGTTACGAATAATATATAGTTTAGTGGACCCTTTGAATATACTGAACCGACGCGGAATGATCATAAAAATAACGTGAAAAATATGATTGCTTTTGTACTCTTCTCATTACATAAAATGATAAATCCGATGAGGTCCATGAAGATAATATTAATATTATAATAACAACTATCAAAACTATTTTACAATATTAGTTTGTTTGAAATTTCCAAACGAGATCTAACATAGAATTTTCTTCGGAAAACATCATATATACATGAAAATTCGAACCAAAACATTTAAATAAGATCAATTCATATTTTATCATTCGAATATATTATATATTGACAATATAAATTATAACTACCCAACAAAGGATAAGTCCGAATTAACGTATAAATTGCTGGTATTTATTGGAAATGTTTTAACGATGATTAGAGAACATAACCCGTAATAGTAAATACCGAAAGACAATCCGAACAAAAAAAAAGAAAGAATACAATTACTAAACACACAGACTTGACTATATATATACACGCGTGCGTGGATATATGTAACTAAATACAGCATGTCGGATTACGCAACTTGAATTGTAAAAGTCAAAAAGAGCCACCGTTGACTGAGCCATTTCCTATATATATATATATGTGCTTGTAACCCCCAGACATTTCATTATATACTATTATTCATCTCTTTTCTGTATAATCCTCAAGATGGCATCTAGGACCGTCGATCTGAGCAGCACCAGTTCAATCTCAGCCGTCCATCCGGAGGTGTTCCGGACCCACATCCTGTCCCGACTCGATGGCCCGACTCTCGCCTCCGCAGCCGCCACGTCATCGTACTTCCACACACTCTGTTCCGACCAGACCCTCTGGCGCCAAATCTCCACGGCCACATGGCCGTCAATCAACGATCCACGTGTCCTCCGCCTCATCACCTCCTTCCCTTCCGGCTTCATCTCCTTCTTCTCCGACTCATACCCCTTACCCGACCCGAATCCGCCGTCAATACCCGGCCCAACTCCGCCGGAGAAATTCATCTCCGCCGTCGATTTGTACTATAGAGGACATCTCATATACTCCAAGGTCCAAGAGACGGCGATCGAAACAGGGTCCGGTTCCGAATCCGAACTCGCATCGGGTAGGTTCATGGATTCGCCGTTCCGAGTCGATTTGCTCGACCCGAAAGAGACGGTCCCGACCAAGCTCCGGTACCCAGGAGGCAATTACGAATCGTGGGTCCGGGACATGGAAGAGAACACGACTCTGAACTGGGTCATAATCGACCCGACCCGGAAACGGTCGGCGAACGTGTCGAGCCGGAGAGCAGTGTCGGCCCAGCGGAACTGGGTGACGGGGAACCTGGAGTTACGTTTCGCAGCGGCGGCGGCGGAGACGGCGGGGGTGACGGAGGTGGTGGCTGTGGGTGCGGGGGATTCGTGGAAGGAGGTGGACGAAGAAGTGGGGGGCGAAGTGCACGTGAGGGACGTGAGGCTTCAGGTGGAGGACATGGAAGGGAAGTGTATGAATGGGAAGGACAGTTTGGTAATTCTGCAGGGGCTGTTGCAGGGGAAGAGGCTTGGGATTGGGGAGGAAGAAGAAGACGACGAGGGAGGGAGAGTGATGAAGACAAGGTACGAGGAATACGTGGAGGCCAAGAAACGGTGGAGAGAGAGAAAGGAGAGGAGAGAGAGAGCAAAGGATTATGGATTTATGGTTTTTGGGTGCGCTCTGTTTTTGCTTTTGTGGAGTTTGATTTTGTTTAGGTGAGAGAGAGAGAGGGAGATGCATACACATATACAGATACTGATAATACAGTTGTGCGTATAGATCCTTAGACGAAAATCTGGTAACAGTTTTCAAAACACATGCAAATTCATGCAAGGGGGAACGTAAATGCATAAAATATTCTGATCGATTGGTGATATTATATAGATGGATCATTTCATTTGTCAAGATATTTGAATCAAAAATAAAGTTTTGGTGAGCCAATTGCATCACATTATAAGTGAGTGACAACACCTTTCCAACGGCAAAGTAAATGTCATGGCCCTAATGACGATAACCCCCTCTCTCTCTCAACATTATTTTTGTTGAAAATGTTCACAATAACCAAATTTTCTACCAAATGAGATTTATATATATATATATATATCATGTCCCCCATGTGTTTTAAAAATATAATATGATGCCATTAATTTTACGGTAAATTTTTCTAAGCCAATAAAATTTTTCTTTTACGCCCGATTAATTTTTCTAAGCGTATTAGTTTTATATATCTATCTAACGAAATTCGATCCCTCGTCTCATCTCAAACCATTGTGGTATTAGTAGGGGTCAATAAATCGAACTGAACCGAATAATATATACTGTTTTTTAAATCGAATTCGGTTTAAAAACCAATGCGATGACATTTTCAAAATAAAAATAAATAAATTTATTTTCGATATGAAAGTAATAACAAAAATTGAACTCGACAAATCTAAGAAACGATGATTTTTAGCACCAACCAAAATTAACGATTCCGAATAGAATTCAAATCAAATAAAAATCGACATTAAACCTTTTAAATAATTTTTCTAATAAAACCGAATCTAAAAACGATCGAATTAAATTAAGTAAATCCTACAAAATCCCACATCTCAATCTAGACATGATCATTGAAGTAAAAAAAAATGCCAAAATAAGTAAGTTTAAGGATTCAATATCAAAACCATGCATGTCTTGATGAACATAAAAACACAATCCCATAATTGAATTGAATGATTCTTTTTTGGATATATATATGGTCCATAAACTTTCATAAACTGATTATATCGGACTCGTGGTGTATCAATTCAGATTCTCATAAACGTAACCTCTCACGATCTTTATTAACCAAAACAAAAAGAGACTTAAGTCAATATATTTTCATGTAACCAAAACCAAACAATTTCAAATTTTTTTTAAGTTCACCCAATTTCAAATTGTATGTAATATTGTTTCTTTCTTCTTAATGGGTTTTGGGAAAAAGCTCTTCTTTAACGGTATTCGTTATTTAACTATATCCACGGAAAAGGGACAAAAATTACCCACGAAACTTTAAAAAAAATTATCATCAGTAAAATTAAAGCTGTTAAATTTAAACTTACAGAGTATCATCAAGATAACCCTCGAATGGTAGATTATATGGTTCCAAATCTAGTGAACGGAGCATTTCGATACGTCGACCAGGCTCTCCCGGTTCAAATAAGAGCCGTTCGGACTGAATTTCATCGGACACTTGACATGGTACGTGACGACGGGAGTGTCCAGCATATCTTCAACATGCCACTGGACCGGAACGGTGGCACTGACCACACCCTTCGCTCCTTGACCCACACCGGCCACGTCGAACCCGAGAACCACCGTCCACGTGCCGGTGGACTTAGGCTCATGATACATCCCGTACGCGTGCGCTGTCTCCGTTTCCTTGCCGTTTACCGACATGGAAATCTTCAGGTCCCCGTACCACATGGCACTTCGGCTAGGGTTATGAGATGTGAGAGACACCTGTATAAACACAATGCGTCACGTCGATCAAAATATATATACCAATCCGAGACCCTAAAACTGAACTGCGAATTCATGTCGTTATGGGTTCGGGGGTTTCTTCTTGTTGTCAAACTCTTTCTCTTTATATGTATGTATGTATGTATATACCATGACGCTTGGACCGCCGGTGGGTGAAGGGACGTCGGAGGGATAGGGAGAGACATCTTGGAGCATGAAAGTAGGTTTAGTCAGATACAAAACCCGAAAACTGATGCCGCCTGCAGCGAGGAGTGCCACAAGAAAGCCGAGGCATGCGGATACTATGATCAAGCATTTTCTGCTCTTTTTTTCTTCGACGACTTCATTAGATGTCTTCAACTTGGGGGAAGAGCTTGCGGAAGAGTATGAGCTCATCCCTTTCTTCATTTCGACGCAGAAAAAAAAAACAATTTCTGTAATAACAAAAAAGAAAGGGAGACAGAACAATGGAATATTTATGTGTTTTTTTGGGTTATAGCAAATTGTTTGGTGGCTTTGATGAGAATTTATAGGCTAATTCTTTTGGGCTTTGGAAATATCATGAAAACGTGAGAGGTTTCCATAATTACCACCGCACGACCAATTGCAGAAAACAAAAAACGTAATGTTTCCATTTGTTTTTTTTTCTTTTAATGAGGAGCGTGCGTGAGGGGTTTAGATTTTATGAGAATCTGAATGGTCCCACCACGAGTTTGATATAATCAATTTATGGAGGTTTATAACATACCCGACCATATAAAAGAAACACTATTCATTCAATTCAATTTATGGTTTTCTGATTAAGAGCTTCCAGTTTGTGAGAAATAAGAATTACATTGGTGTAAATTTGATCGACCGGTTAGAGATGTAACCCAAAACCATTTGGTGTTAAAATCAACTGGTCTCAGAGAAGAAGCATCGTTGCAAATGCTTTTCGAACTAGAAATATAAGAGTGAGGAACAATTACCGAATAAAAACCGGACTGCAGTGAACTGAAATTAAACCCGGTATGACGATTAACCGGATCTTGGAAGGACCCGTAGACCACATAGCAAAGGTACATACACCACCAAGCAAGCAGTGAAAAAAAAAGGACCGTACGGGCAGAACAGAACACATGGAGTTCAGAAAGATCAAACAGAGCAAACATATAGATACTGAGGACTTTAATTAATCCTCCATGGCTGATCATTCTAACATCAAAAATTTGGTGTAAAACGGACTCATCTGGGAATATTTGAGCTCAGTCCAATTTAATTCGTTTTCTAGCGAGTCAAAAATAGACCAATCTAATCCAAATCGCCTTAAATCACGAGCTAAACGAAAAGATCCGCGAACCAAATATATAATTTAAAAAATATTTAACAATATTTTAAATATAATACATTTTTAAAAAAATTTTAAACAAAACAAACTAAATATCTAATGAAAAAAATATAATTTTTCTATAAAAATATTAAAAATTTGAAAAAAAAAAAAATTCTAGCCCGCCAGCCAAGCCCATGGGTTCGCCGAGCTGACTCGCTACTAGTCCAGCTCATGATGAGCTAACTCGTTTGACCCGCGAGCCGGGCTCGTTTTACACCTCTAATCAAAAGCTTATGATTTCGCCCTAGGGAACGACAAAGAACTAAATAAAATCCTGCAACATACGGTGACAAGAACACATACACACACATACGTATATACATGCATACGTACGTATACATTGAGGTAGTCACATAAATGATTGAGAAAACAAGAATAACAAGCATTGGGAATTCCCTCCTCTTTGACCCTATGAACAGACAAATTTAGTGAACGAGATTCACAAGCTCTTCAAGGGAATCAAATCAACACAGAAATCTATTATCCCAATCCCAAAGGTTTGTGAAGCAGCATCCTTCTGCAGCATCTACACAGATCAATATAAAAGGCCTGGATGGATATTGCCTGGCACAACTCACAGTTCAACTTGAAACTGTTCACCTAACAAAAAGATATCATTTCAATAGCAATGAAACAGAGAGCATATAGGTAGACATTAGTTGAATGAGCGAGCAGGGAAGAGAGTGCCAGAATAACAATGCCAAATGATGAATCGGCATTCAAAAACAGAAATCAAGCCTTAGATGTGTCTAATATCGAACAGGTTCGACTCAAATGCATCGCCAAGAGTAAGCGGGAGATAGACAAGCATCTAAACTCTAGTTATCTAAACAACACAGCCTAACAAATGTTAAGACACGACGAAAAGCAGCCAATGTCTTCCCCAAGAAACATGAAAACAAAGTAAACAATATCAAGTATTACACCGAAAATCTTGGGAGATTACCTTGAAGTGCTGTTCCTCATGAGAAACAGAAGTCTAAAGCGGTTGCAAACTCTCTCTGCTACAACATTATCTTCTGAAGAACACATTCCCTATCAGAATTGCATATCTATCCTAATGATTAGGCAACGAGTCTCTATTCTCTTTCTGGGTTTTAAGGTCAGGAGACTAAAAACCATCGGGAATGCAAATCTATTACTCAAGGTTCGGAAATATCCTTCTACAGCATCTGCAATGGAACCCACAAACAGCACATCCCACATGCACATTATAGAACATTCAACAAGAATATTACCTTCGATACATGACCTTCGGATTGATATTATTCCGCGGTATTGTCTGCTCTTGTAGTTCTCCCCGGTATCGAAGAGTTTTCAAGTCAGGACGGAAACTACTAAATTCACTAGCCCAATTCTTCTGGACAGAAGTGGGAGCAATAACCAGATATTTTTCCATGGATTTTATAGCACATAGAAGACATAAGAAGGACAATGTTCAACTTACCCGCAGCCAAATGTGCCAAGAATAAACATTTCATCGCCAAAAAAACTAACGCCACAAAACAAAGACAAAATAAGACAAGGGGTGAGAAAAATGGGAGAAAACTTCAGGAAATAAAAAAGATAAATATCAACACGAATTGAAGAAACTCTGTAAAACCAAAAGGATTTATAAGATAGAACAAGAGAGAAGACGGAAAGACCCAAGATTGGGTGGCTCAACCGGTTTTCACTTGGGGAGGAGCATTCACATGGACTTCCCCTTGTAGAAGATCCAAAGAACCAGTGAACTTCCTGATTATAAAAAAAAACGGAAAGAAGGAAGAGGAAAACGATTTCGCCCACTTGGGAACGTCAAAGAACTGAACAAAAGCCCACAACATTAAGAAGACAACAATAACAAGCAATCAGGACCATGAACAACCCTTAAACAACTAGATAAGAGGAATGTATGGATTTCAAAAAGTAACAATATGTTTAACATGATCTATACCTGCGTATTAGTCATGATAGAAACTAGTGATTTCATTAGCCTACTTGATGCGGGAAAGAG